TTTTTGTTAATTTCCTGCAGGCTAAAATCAACATACATAATACCGACCACCTTGGAAACTGTCAGCTGATCGTTGTCAGTCAGTTCGGACGGCCATGGTAACAAAACTACTGAGGCCAAAGGTCGAGGATCAACTTTGTGATCGTATCATCAGACCTGAGGCCGTATTGGACACTTGGGGAAAGAGGAACAGAGCTGTCAGCTGATCACCACCTGGTGGTCAGTCGGCTGCCGGACAGACCTGGTAAATGGAGCGAGGTACGTGTGTATTTTGATTAGTAAAGGTGAACGTTAGTAGTTTTAAAGATGTGTCGTTGTTAATGCATATATTTTTTAGGCCTATTGTGGCTTTGTTTGTTTTTAGTTTCATTGATGCCAAGAGCTGCTACAGATCATCTTTTCCAAAGCTGCATGGAAAGTGACGTTTCAGCTGCTCTGCTTCAGCTTACCTGAGACAGTGAGAGACAGCCGACGGCTCTCAGAGGAGAAGTCATGAGAAAAAATATGGACGTGATAAACACAGCTGTAGCTTCCTTGGTGGGCGGGCTCTGCGGCAGGAAACAGGAAGTGGGCAGAGTGATTGACAGCTGGCTGGGTGTAGTTCTGTGATGCGTTGGAGGAGGTGAAGGCGAGCTGGAAGGAGCCTCCTGGGTACTGTGGCTGGATGGAGCAGCTGATGTTTAAGGTGGAGCCCCTGGACACCTGAAAGCCCTGCTGCTGGGCCTCGGAGACCCCGTCCATGGAGGAGGACGCAGAGATGTTGGGCTGAAGCAGCAGGTCTGTAAACACACAGATGATGAAAGGTCACAACAAAATGGCCCCTGAAGAAGGAAGTGATGTCACAGGTCTGACACGGGTAACAAACATGGAGCAGAGCGATGACAGACTGTAAAAGGACGGACTGGATCCACCTGGTGGGACGTCCCCAAGTTCAAGTTCATTTATATTGCACATTTAAAAACACCACAACACTAGTTGACCAAAGTGCTTTCCACAATAGACAAATATACATGACAACAGTAGAAAAAGTAAAAATGTCACTACTCAACTCTGTTTTAAGGCCAATGAATAAAGATAGGTCTTTAGCAAAGATTTGAAAGTGTCAGGAGTTTGGGCATTTCTTATTTGAACAGGTAAAGTATTCCAAAGATTAGGAGCAGCTACTGAGAAGGCTCGGTCACCTTTAGTTTTTAACCTGGATCTGGGGACATCAAGGAGCATCTGATTGGATGACCTCAGTGCTTTGACCGGAGTGTGTACATGTAAAAGTTCTGATAAATAAGAAGGTGCCAACCCATTTAAAATTTTAAAAACAAGCAATAAAATCTTAAAATCAATCTTTAGGCAGACAGGAAGCCAGTGGAGCGAGGCTAAAACAGGGGTAATGTGCTCACGCTTTTTAGTTCCTGGTAGAAGTCGGGCTGCTGCATTCTGGACTAACTGTAACCGATGAAGAGATGACTGATCCACGCCAACATACAAAGAGTTACAGTAGTCGAGACGTTATAAATGCAAGTATTACTCTTTCAAAGTCTTTGCGTGGTAGGTAGGGCTTGACTTTGGCCAACAGTCTCAGCTGAAAGAAACTGGCTTTTACTACAGAACTAATCTGTTTTTCAAACTTAAAAGCACTGTCAAAGATCACAACTAGATTCTTGGTAAATAGACGACTATATGTTCCTAAAGTACCAAGAACATCTATACAAGCACTTAAATCCCCAGGTTGACTGAACACAACAACCTCAGTCTTACTTTCATTCAGACAGAAAGTTCTGATTCAACCACATTTTAAGATCTCTCAGGCAGTTGAGCAAGGACTGAGTTACAGCTTTGTCGTTAGATTTTACAGGTAAATAGATTTGTATGTCGTCTGCAAAGCAATGAAAGGAGATGTTTTTTGAAAATGGACCCCAATGGCAGCATGTACAGTGAAAAAAGCATGGGGCCCAATATGGACCCTTGGGGGACCCCACAAGAAAGAGGGGCAGCAGATGAAGAAGTTTCTCTGTTCGAAACTTCTATCTGCCAGATATGATTGAAACCATTTGAGGGCTGTGCCCCTAATGCCGACACACTGTTCGAGTCGGGATAAGAGAATGGAGTGGTTAACCATATCAAAGGCAGCAGTCAAATCTAAAAGCACCAAAACAGCAGAGTTTCCAGAGTCAACAGCTAAAAGGAGATCATTAAAAACTCAGTACTGTGATGACTTAAATCCAGACTGGAATTTTTCATAAATACTAAAATCTAAAAATGATTGAAGTTGATTAAAAACCACTCTCTAGGATTTTTGACAAAAAGGGGAGCTTAGAGAGGTTTGAAGTATCCAGATTGTTCTTTTTTAAACGCGGTTGCACAACTGCATCTTTGAAAGCAGCTGGAACACACCCTGAGCTGAGAGATGTATTAACCAAGGCGACAATGCTTGATCCAACAGTGTTAGAAACATCTTTCAAAAAGCGTGCAGGAATACTGTCAAGTGGGCAGGACGTAGTTGCTTGACTATGTCAGAAAGAAGGGGGAATGTAACTGGCTCAAACTGCAGGAAGACAGCTGGGCTGACAGGGGGACAGAGGGGTCCCTGGTAAATGTAGTGGGTGAAAAGCTAAGACTGACAATTTTGTCTAAAATATTTCAGGAAGTTTTCACATAAAATTGTAGATGGCACAACACAGTCTGATATGTGAGGGTTAACAAGAGAGCTAAAGACATTGAAAAGAACCTCAGGCCTTTGGCTGTTATTTGCTACTACATGGGATAAAAATTTAGTTTTAGCAGATTTTACTGCTCTCTGGTATTTAGATGGTGTATCCCGCAATATTTCAAATGAGACTTGAAGTTTGTCCTTTTTCCTCTCTCAGCTATTCTACAGGCATGTCTGAGAGAGCAGGCAGTGTCATTCAGCCAAGGCTCTGAAAGTGGTTTAGAGCGTTTTTCCCCTCAGTGGAGCAACAGTCCAATATCTCAGTGTAAGTACAATCAAACTGGTAGGTGAGTTCCGCAACACTGAAGGTTGCATCGAGATTGTACAACAATGAGTTTTTAAAAGCAGCAAAACTGTGAGGCAGTTAAAGGGTTAATTGCACGCACATTGCGTGCCGGAGCACAGGTAGAAATCTCCAAACAGGGGAGAGCCACTGTCAATAAGAAAGGTAGATGGTCTGAAATGCATGTGTCACATATTTCACTTATGATTACACATAAACCATACGACAGTACAAGATCCAGAATATGTCCTTTTTCATGAGTCGGGAGATTAAAAGAGTCAATAAGATTAAGAAAATCTTTAGCCAAAGGTTTGGATTCACAACACACATGTATGTTAAAATCACCAATAATTAAGAAGTGATCATACTTTAAAGCAATCCTAGCCACAAAGTCTGCAAAGTCTTGAATAAAATCCTTGTTAAACTTTGGAGGTCTATACACGACCGCACATAACACAGTTGTGGGAAAGCTTGCCTCAAATAGTTGCAGTTCAAAACTGGAGCAGCTGTCAACCAGAATTTCCCGACAATGAAAGACAGATTTGAACACAGACGCCAGCCCTCCACCTTTGCCGGTGGTCCGAGGGGAGCTGAGAAAGTCACAGCAGGGGAGGAAGAAGTTCAGAGAATGGAGTGAACTCACCAGCATGAAGCCAGGTTTCTGTCAGAAACATAAAATCCAACTCCCTTGAAGTGAAGAAGTCATTCAGCAGAAACGTCTTGTTAGCTAACGATCTAACGTTAATCAGAGCCAAACGAAGACTGCGATCCCCACTGGCCAAAGGCGCCGCACGATCCAGCGGGCGAAGGTTCGAAGAATCCACACCACATCCGCGAGCCCAAATCCACGTTGGATGATCAGGCAGAATCAACAGGTCGGCCTCAGAGGTAACCGTCAAGATAGGCAGAATGGGACAGAGCCATCGGCCTCGCACCTCCAGCAGTCGCAGTGCGGCAGGAGCGTAGCATCCATTGTAAGGACACGTCCCGTCCGCAGATGCAAGGTAAGCCTTGTATCTGACCAGCACACCTCCACGCTTTCCCTGTCGCCTGAAGCGCTTTTTTCGGGGAATATCGCATGGTGGACGACGCAGATGCGCTGGTATATCCGCCAGGAAAGGAGGAGGACTCCTAGTCCAATAATCTCTCAAATCATGCCTTCTAAGTAAATCTTGTACATCTCATCAGAGGCCCGAATATTGAGAAGTGTTTGGCGATCATAGATAAGTATCACAGGTGCAGACTGTGCAAGGATGCCCCTGAGACAATACAGCACATAACAGGGTGTAAGATGCTGGCCGGAAGGCCAGGTATCTGTCATAGTGTACAGGAACATCTGCCATGAGTATGGGCTGGAAGCCCCTAGGTCAAAATGGAAGACACCTCCTAAGGTAGTTGAGATTGACCGAGCTAAGATCCTGTGGGTCTTCAAGATCCAGACTGACAAACACAAACAACAGAAGAAGGCAGTAGTGATAGATGTGGCAATTCCAAGCGACAGCAACATCAAGAAGAAGAAACACGAGAAGCTTGAGAAATACCAAGGGCTGAAAGAGGAGCTAGAAAAGATGTGGAAAGTAAGAGCAACAGTGGTGCCAGTGGTAGTCAGGGCACTGGGGGATGTGACCCCCAAACTGGGAGAGTGACTACATGCACGATGCAAATTTTAGTGGGTGAGTGTGCGCATGTTTTTGGAAGAGGTAGTACTCAGAGTCCAGTAGAGGGAAGGCCTGTGTGAGACAAACACATTGGAAACATTAGGTGCGTTTGAGATGACTGGCTGTCCAGAACGACAGTTTGCTTGGCGAGGTGTGGTTCAAACTTTTTGCTCCCACAAGGTTTCAATGTCATGTGACATGGTGACATTTTGCAGTGCTGGCAAAAGTCGGACAAAGTTTTAACCAGTGTGCACCATGCATCACATTAAGTCAGTGCTACGCGGGAACCACATGAAGTCAAACGCACCTAACACTGTCATACAAGATGTCATAGATGATGTCACTGATTGACTTACCTGAGCAGGTGAGATCCAGGATGAAGGAAGAGGAAGTTGATGTTACACACTCCCTCAGAGCAGATCCAGACTGAACACAGTCAGACCTGATCCACCACACAGGTCTGACTGAGGATTCCTTTCTCTGTCCCACAGAAACAGCAGAGCCACAGTCCAGATCTCTACAGACAACAGCTGCTGTCTTCAGGGTCCAGAAAGACTCTCTCACTGGTCTCCAGTCTCCCTGTTTCACCTCCAGTGTTCCTGAACAGGGACTGGCTCCTCCCACCAACCTGACAGGCTCTGAACAGAAACCAGAGAGTCATCAGTAAAACAAAGTGAGTTTCATCAGAACAGAAATGAACCAAATCAAAGCTGCAGCTCCTCTTCTACCTGAGCAGGTGAGTCCAACAGCTTTTCCAGGTGAGCAGGTGTTTCTAGCTGAGCCTGAGCTTCTACAGTCCAGGAGAGCAGACTCATGGCCTCCACACTGGAACTCTTTGGTCCACATCGGAGCCTCCACTTCTCCATAGAGCGCCCCCTGGAGGACTGAAGGAGCCCCACAGCCAAGCTCCCTACAGACCACCTCTGCATCCTGCTGGTCAAAGTCAGCTTCACACACTGAGGACCACCTCTGGTTAGACTTCACCTCCAGTCTGCCTGAGCACAGACTAGTCCCGTCCAGCAGCCTGACAGAGTCTGGAGAGATAAAAGATGAAATAGAGATAAAGACAGCAGACACAAAAGAAAAACATGTCATGAAACAACAATTCAGTGATTCAAGGTGGACTCAGCACAACTCCAACATCAGTTCATCATTAACAACAGAACACATCTTTCTACCAGCACAGACTGCAGCAAGTTCACCAGCACATTTCCATTTAATACTCTGTCACACTTGTTCTCCACGTCTGAACACTTTCAACATGTTTCCAAACAACAGCACAACATCATCTGCAGATTTCTCTGTTCAGGTACTCCACAATCTTTATTCTCCGCACAAACAAGTTCAACACTTTTCATTCTGTCTTAATGTTCTAAGAAGATCTGGAACCCAGAAGAAAAACCTGCTTAGAAAATGCGCCAACAGCTCTAACAGGGATAGGGGCTGGACTCTCTCCTTTGGCCCAGGGGCCTCTTGAAGCAGAAGACATGTATGTTTCATATATACACATATATATCTTGGGGCATTCAGCACCTGATTTAGTGAGCAGCTCATCAGACTCCGCCATGGCTGCCAGAGACAGTCCGCTGTTATTCTAAATGCTGAGTGTGTGACAAACTGGGTCGACACATTCTCGCTCAAGAACTTGTAAAATAGATTATAGTAAACTATTGGATAACAATAAAATATTAAAGGTGAATGGAATATTCTAAAATGTATTATTAGAAATTGTACTAGATAGGTTAATTATCCCCAATATTCCTTTGATGAAATGAGAAGAATACTGGTGGTGATGACTTTTTTGTTTGAAAGCTTTTTTAGTTGACCTAAAATCTCCATTATACAGCTATTTAAAAATAGATATATTAATCCTATGGAAAGAAACCCTAGTTCAATGTTTCTCTAACTAGTAAATTCCCCCAACAAATGAAAACAACAAAAAGTCATACCTCTGTACAAAATCGGAGATAAACACCCACAAATTACACCTCCAGAAAAAAAAAAAAAAAACCTCTTCATGACAGATTGGACAAATTCATAGAAAAATATAAATGACTCACCGACAGCCAATATGGATTCAGAATAAACATGTCAACATAATTTACCGAACTCAATTTGAATAAAGCATTTCATCTAATAAATCATGAAATATTAATAGATAAACTGGAATAGGTCGGGATAAGAGGACAATTTGTGAAGGTGGCAGATTATGAACTCAAACTAATTCAGGGCTTCAATAATTGACGCTTTGAGATGAGACAACGCGTAAGTATTTGATCCATATCCATCCATATGAAATGCCGCAGTTTGCTAGTGCGTTGCAACACAAAGCAGGCTAACCCTACCTGTTAGCACATCGGCTGATGTGCACAGCTGTAGGGTTAGCTGGTGGACATGCATATATTCACTGACTAAGGTTTAGGCACACCCCTGTGATGCCCCTGTGGGGCTTCTCAACACCCCAGGGCATCTCATGCAGATGAGAAAAGACAATCTCAAGCCTTCAAACTGCTTGATCTTTGTTGTTTATCTATTTTAATCACCATTTGTTGTTACTTTTGTTTTTTCTTTTTTACATGTTGGAAATAATGATATCAATCAATCGATGATATCACTGATGGGCTTACCTGAGCAGGTGACATCCAAGATGGAGGAAGAGAGACATGATGTTACACACTCCCTCAGAGCAGATCCAGACTGAACACAGTCAGACCTGATCTCCCACACAGGTCTGTCTGAGGACTCCTTTCTCTCTCCTACAGAAACAGCAGAGCCACAGTCCAGCTCTCTACAGACAACAGCTGCTGCCTTCAGGGTCCAGTCCAAGGAACTCACTGGTCTCCAGTCTCCCTGATGTTTTAGCTCCAGTGTTCCTGCACAGCGACTGGCTCCTCCCACCAACCTGACATCATCAGGCTCTGAACAGAAACCAGAGAGTCATCAGTAAAGAAGTGAATTCAAGAGACTAAACTAAAACTTTACTGCTGATTCTGCTTCCTTGATTCTCTCTCTCTTTTCTGTCTCTCTTTACCTGTTGAGGTGTGTTGTCCTTCAGCCTGGAGTCCTGTAACTGGACAGAAAAAACACTCAGGTTGTTTTGTAAAGAACTTTCCATCAGCACAGAAACATCTCAGTGAACTCCCTCTGGAGTCATTTTACCAGTTTACTGTAGGTGAGATGAACATGTGAATACACAGAACAGCAGCCAGCAGACTGCTTCAAATACAGTAGAGTTAAAGGAAAAGCTCAGCATTCAGTGAAGTATGCTCGCTCAGCTTCATTTCATCAGGACGGAAATCAGTATGTGGATTCATGCTGTGAGAGCTGCACAAACGCAAGTTAAGAACTGCAGCTGCTTCAATCTGCAGCTACAAGACAAAAAGCTGCTTTTTGCTCACAAATGAAGAAAAGGTCCTCGTTTTCTCACTTTTGACATGTGGAGCATAAGTGATGCACCCATGCCTGTCTGGTGGTGATGGAACAGTGGTGAGAGAGACCCGGGTTCGAGTCCACTGTGAGACACCAATGTGTTGCTCCAGAGGAGTGTGACCTGTATAGCAATTGTAAGTCGCTTAGGATAAATGCATCAGCTAAATGTAACAATGCACCTGAAGACCCGGAGGTCTCATTTTTAAAACTGTCCATAGGTTGCGTATGTGCAGAACACAGGAAATGTGTCCTATGCTGATTTCACTTTATAAATCACAATCATCTTTAAATGTGGCGTATGTGAGCGAGCTCCATGTCAGACCCTTTATAAGCCCATAGTTGCCTATAAATGGTCAGGGAATTAATTAATATTAATACATCCTGACTGCAGGAAGAAAAGGAGGGAAATTTTGGAGGAGGACACATATGCAAGACAGGATGACCCAGGTACTAATTTGGATTCCCCCATTTCAAAAGAGTGTAAACCAAACACATTTCACTTGTGGTTAAACATTTATTTAGGCTACACACAGTCCACTCACTGAACGAGACTGCTGACGCGTTAAGAGAAATATGACATAAGCAGCACACTGAGAGATTTACTTAATGTTATATTTTCTGTAACAAGTTTTTACAAACAGTGCATTACATCCACATGATGGCACACATCGTTTGACTCGATATGACAACGAACATCCGATACCAATTTATGTAACTATGCACTTGTATTTGCTCAAGTGAGGCAGCAAAAACGGCATCAGTTTAAATGTAATCCATTATCCTGTTCACATTATTTATGAAAATAAATTGCATTGTTAATATGATTACAGTGACAGATATCTCCATTTGTGTTTATTATCCTATCCTTTTTGTGTCTGCAGCAAATTATATTAAATAATGTTTTTAATTGCACACGGGAGTTTTTTTATTCAGTAAAGCTTAAAGCCTGGAATACTCAGAGGTAATATTTAGATTTATTTTACACAATAGAATCCATTTCAAACTATTTCTCCTTTCCACCATCAGTCACCGTTTGTCTTTTCTCCACTTCATGTGTGTATGCATGCCTCAGAGTTTGCGTGGAGGACCGTACAGTCTCCTGTCAGACCACACATTTCCAGCCCTGTTTTCCAGGCTGTTAAGAGGGCATTAATTATAGGCGTGGGGTTTAAATTGCATGTTAGACATCTATCCATCCATCATCAACCGCTTATCATGTGTACACGGTACACCCTGGACAGGTCGCCAGTCCACCGCAGGGCATACAGTCACAGACAAACACTAAAGCCAAGGCTTACACTACATGATTTTTGTGTGTCTACACAATGACACACCACTGACGCATGCCAGATATCTAGCATGCCAGATATCTGGAGGAGTCGGCCAACTCGACATCCAGCCAATGAGAGCAGGCAGCTACTTTTTCACTGCAAAAAACTACTCCCCTCCAGCTCTCTCTGTTGCTCAGACAATCCCTGCTACCTGTGTGAGCTAATCCTTTCACGCAGATTCTTTGTCTTTATAATAACAAACAGCTGTTTTGTCTGTAGGTTCGCATCATTTCCCGTTTCACATTTCATGTGTGTCATCTTTACAAAACGTGGTCACCGATCAACGACTTCAAGACTCCCGTCACAAGACAGCAAGTTGTGTAATCTGAGCAGCATGGCCATTGGCTGACGCTGAAAGTTGTGTTGTCTTTCAGCCTTAAGACTCACATTCAAACCTAAGAACAATTTAGAGTTACCAATTAAGCTAGTCTGCATGTCTTTGGATGGTGGGAGGAAGCTGGAGCACAGAGAGAGAACCCACATTCGACAGTATGTTCTTATACATTCCTGTTCAGATAATGATAGGAGTGCTGTATGATGTACTGTATATTTGAAGAGTATTGTTGTTGACAGAAACCACACACACCAACAAGACTACCAAGAAGCAGGAGGCTTGTGTACCAGGTAATAAATCTGAAAGTGGGAGTCCTCCCTGGAACGCTCTTGGTGCAAAGACTAAGAGTAAATCATTTCCTTGGGAAATCGAGGACGAGTAACAGGCAGAACCCAGCACCCTGAGACTGGCTGGCCTGCATTATCATCCAGGCAGAGCGCCTCTTCAACCCCTATTCATGGTAGGACACAGCCGTGGACAGCTGCGAAAGGTAGAGTTAGCAACAAAACTCCCCAACAACCGAGTGTGCAACAGCAGAACAGATTTTCACCACTGCTGCAGGACCCTGGATCTCCGTCTGATGACCTGGATAACCTCCCATCCTCACACAGAAGGCTAAGGACTGAGAGTAAATCAGAAAGTAAAAGGCTGCAGAGAAAGCTAGGAAACGACAGAGAAAACGACTGGGCCTCAAACTGCTGTAAACGACGTAAGAAGCATGTGCAGTAAGAACACCAAAATACTCTGCTTTCTGAAGGATACGGTGTCCTGCGTATCGTGACTGAACTTCCTACTGTGAAAAACATCACACTGCACATCGAAACCAATGATGTTGTGAAGCAACAGTCTGAAGTCTTGAAAGTGGACATTAATAATAATAACCCCCCTCACCGTCCACCTCTACCACTAGTCCTCCAGGTTTGACACGTGTCACAAATAAAAGTAAGTTCTGTCTGATATGTGCTGGGTCCAGGCTGCAAGGAAAATAGCACTCATGACTCTTCCCAGGACAAGACGGGCCCCAATGTGCTGGTAGTCTTCTCCATCCCTGTCTTGACAGGTAACAGAAAAAGCATGCTGAATGTGTTGAACAGGAAGCACTCAACATATCCTGCAAATTTAGTAGTAATTCCTCGTCAGCCGCAGCCTGTCGAAAAAAGTGGGCCAGATAATGTTTTTAACAAACTAAAATTAGCTTTGTTAAACGTCAGGTCTTTGGCACGAAAACAAGATAACAGTGCAGCTGTCTTTATCGAGTCTACCCCTCCCTACATCAATTTTATGAGTGAAGCTAGAGTGCATAAGAGAGGAGGTGGAGTTGCCATTTTGTTTAATGACTCCCTCCAATGCAAAAAGATGTAAATACTGTGGTGAACTGCTGTCTATAATCTGTATTGACTTTGACTGTGTGGTTATTGTTGGTGATTTTAACATCCATGTTGACGACCCCCAGGACAGAGGGACTAAAGAACTGTGTTGTGTTCTTGATAATTATGGACCAGCATGTGACGGAGCCCACGCACAATAAGGGGCACACTTTGGACTTGGTCATCTCCAAGGGTCTGAATATTTCCAAGGTTGTGGTGACTGATGTTGCTCTCTCTGATCATTCCTGTGTTTTCTTTGAGAGTGCTGTCTGCGTGCACACAAACAGAGGTAATCACTGAAAACACTAGTGAAAAATTTATTGAGGTTCTCTCCTTGACACCCGCTCTCTCACAGGTCTCAGTCAGTGAGCTTGTAGATAATTTCAGTTCTAAAATTACAAATGTTATTGATGCCATTGCTCCAGCCAAGGTGAAGGTGGTCTCTGGTAAGAGAAGATCTCCATGGAGAAATGCCACGCTGGTTAGAACTCAAAAAAGAGCGTGTCGAAAAGCTGAACGCAGGTGGCGGAAAACAAATCTCCAGGTTCATTTTGACATCTATAAAGAGAGACTTCGCATTTATAATTTAGAACTGAGAAATGCAAGGCGGTCCTTCTCTGACATCATCACCAAAAACACTAATAATGCACGTGCCCCGTTTGCTGCGGTCGACAGGCTAACCAACCCTGCTGTGTCTGTAGCCTCTGAACTTCTATCCACCAGGGCCTGCAATGAATCTGCCTCCTTCTTCACAGACAAAAGACAAGCAATCAGTGCCTCTATATCAGTAACAGGATATGTCCCATCCCTGTGTCCACTTAACAATTCATATAGCATGAGACAATTTGATTCTATTAAACATAAAAACCTGGAGGACATAATACAACATCTGAAATCCTGCTCATGCTGCCTTGATATTCTGCCAACAGGTTCTCAAATATGTTTCTAAATGCATGGCCTCAGATCTACTACAAATTGTCAACATGTCTCTCCTCTCAGGTTTTTTCTCCCCCCACAGGCCCTGAAAACTGAAGACATTAAGCCACTCTTAAAAACGAGCAATCTAGACAAGTTACTAGTGAGCAATTACAGGCCCATATCAAATCTCCCATTTTTAAGTAAATTCATTGAAAAAGCTTTTTCAACAGCTTAGTGCTTTCTTGGCACTAACTGTTTTGATGTCTTCCAGTCAGGTTTTCGACAGCACTGAGACGGTTCTTGTTAAGGTCGTCAATGACATCTATTTAAACACTGACAGTGGCAGAATTTCAGTCTAAGTATTACTGGATCTCAGTGCTGCATTCGACCACAACATATTACTAGACAGACTTGAAAACTGGGTTGGACTTTCTGGCACAGTAATAAACTGGTTTGAATCCTACTTAAAGGACAGGGACTACTTTGTGTCTTTAGCCAACCACACATCTGAGCTGACAAAAATTACATGTGGAGTTCCCCAAGGCTCCATTCTGGGACCTCTTGTTTAACATTTACATGCTTCCACTGGCTCAGATTATGAAAACAACAAAATGTTACCATAATTATGCAGATGACACACAGATTTACATAACCATTTCACCAGGGGACTATGATCCCATACAAG